TCAACTTTCAAGATTTGGTTTGTGGAATCTCTTAGGTCTTTCTATTCTAGCTATTGTCATCCTCAAACAATTGTAGATGTGTAACAATGCTGTAGATAAGGCTTGTAGACTATTTCAAGGTCTGAAGAGGGATGTCTTGGAGCTAAAATATCAACCAAAAACTACATTTAGGCCTGGGCTTCCCTGGAAGAATCAGACCAGGAGTTCAGCTTTCTTGCACATTCGGCAGCTATGAACAATAAATTCCTCAAATAATTCCTGAAATTAAACTGACAGAAAGTTTCAATATTAAATGCAAGACAATTATGGAGAATCCAAAGACTTCTATCAACTTTTACCATGAATTAAGTAATGTGAGCATCTTTTCCATCACTGGCTACTATCTAAAAATAAAATCAGTGCATTTAAGTCACAGAAACAGCATGCATCATGTCCTGATCTGACTAAAATCACCTAAAAATGGTCCAGATTGAGCATTAATTCTTGCATCCCTGGAATCGTCCTGCAAAATGTTTCCACTGATGACAAACTGAAATCCTAAAAATCCCCTTCTATAAATCAGTCAGCACTGTCTCCATGCTGTGATTCTTACTCTCAGCCTGGGCCACGATGGACACGCAGGGATTCTCCTCGTGTCCCTCCAGGACCACCTGCTTGGCGGTACCGAGCTGCATCACCCGGCTCAGGTGAGGAGCGATGGCCTGAACCAGCGAGTCCTTCTCCTCCTCGCATCCCTGACCGTCGTCGTCCTCTTTGCCGAGAAAGGAGAGCTCGGAGCCGCCGGCCACGATGATGAAGGGTGTGTTGGAGTTGAGCATCCTGGGTATGGCCATCCCTCTGTCAGGGCGCATCTACGAGGTGGAGACTGGACGAGACGAGACACTCTGATTGAACCAAGAGCTGCATCATTACAGTCAGGTTTAGAATATAGGTACGTTGATGATACCATGTTTTATAAAGGTCTGAATGTCCTGAATTTCCAGCTCAACATTTGCTAACATTACCTGCAAATTCTAATAATATTTTAAAGAAAACATTTAATTAAATGTTTAAAGAACCTTTTAAGAATGTTTTCATCGCCGATAACATTCCTGCAACATAATGTTCTTTTCCAGATGTTACTGAGGCCTCAGATGATATTTGATTCATAAATTCTAAAAAAAATTCCTGCAGTGTTCTGAGGACGTTTTGGGGATGTTCTTGACGGAACACATTTTAGAAACATTCAGAAAATGTTATCCAGATGTTATCGATACACCGGTGCGTCCTTTATAATGTGGCTTATTCACAAAGGTGGAACATTTTCCTGCAATGTTCTTTAGGGAGTTCTTGAGACGTCATCAAACACGTCCCAGCATCTAGAAAATGTTCCCACAATGTTCCCCTGTTACATGAAAACAAACGAAGAATGGTCTCAGCACAGCAAGTTTGGAAAACATCCGAGCACGACAGATGTTATCAACCAGCATATTTAGTTTAGTTATTCTAAGTTTAAAACTATTCTGGGAACTAAAAAAAAACAAACAAACGTCTCACTGAAAACATCGGTACAACGTTGCAGAACTTTCTTTTTTGGAAATAAGAAATTGACTTTTCTGCTCAAAAGTCACATGGAAACAATGTTTTGTCTGTTGTGTGAGAATTTAAGCTCCACATTTATTTACACTTGTAATAAAAGTCTTAAAGCTTATACAATCATGCTGCTACCAACGTAAAAATATTTCCAAAAACACGGTCTATTTTCAGTTGCTAGGAGCATTTTACATGCTCTTATTTCATCACGTTTGCATTACGTAAGAGTGGTTTTACCTGCCTGGAAAAAAAAATCTACTAATGTAAAGATAGAACCAAAAAACATGATGACATCACTCCTGTTTCATCCTCTTCTCAGCGGCTCCCAGCAGGTTTTTAAATCCCTAATAACCTCCTCCTGGTTATTTTTCTAACCTTTTAGTACGATATGCATCATTCTGCACGTTTAGGTTCCCAGGCTGAGGTCTTCTGTCTAAAAACTAAAGGTTTATATATCTGCAAGTCATGTCCAGCAAGTCAATGACTTCCTTCAAGGTTTTTCTTAAAATTATGTGCTACCTGCAAGACTTTCTTTAGTTTTTATTTCCTTTAGAGTCTCTTTATATCTTGCTGTAATGCTAACACTGTTTCTACAACTGAAAAATCATTTACTGTCACAACAAGAAAAAACATTTCCATCCCGAATATATGCCAACAAAATATTTTAAATCATTATTTAATGTGTATTTATTGTCCTATATGAATCTAAACAGTAATTATGCTCATATCTTTGATAGTACAAGTGTCTTCTTCAGTTTAAGGCATTAACCAAGTTTCTGTAATGTTTAAATCAGGCCCCAAAAAACGCTCCAACAGTAGAAAACTGGTTCAGTGTTAATCTCTACAGTATCTTTTCCTGTTGCTTTCAGCTCCTCAGATTCCCATCACGACACAAAAACCCAACCGCTGCCGAAACAACAGATTTGTAACTGGCAGGATGTTTAATGCGCTGGCATTTGCCGTGGCGGGGCGTGAATGAACAGACACCAGTGGTGGAGCAGCGAAGGTGAGTATAAATAGCCTGCAGAGATGCCTTCCACTGGGCCGTCCAGCTGTCAGAGTCTCTCCTACTCAGAGCTCGCCATGTTGACAGCCAACACTGGGGGATCAAAACAGAGACACTTCCCACTCAGAGAGAGTCCACTCGCCCCGAGTCCCGAAGCAGAGAGGCTGCATGAGTGGACGGCTCAAGGAGTTTAGAGTGAAGCAAGTGGAAACCAATCTTTAGGTTAAATACACCTGAACAAATATGAAAGCTTTCTAATCAGTCTTCCAAGACATGCAAGGTCCAGCCTACAAATTGAACACTCATCCCAAACACCTTTCCCATGGTGCACTGCTTCCCAAAAAGCCACTTTCCTTTCACCCTGCAAGCAGACAGACAGTCAGCGGAGTACTTTACCTCTGAGGGTTGATCTCAGGTGAAATCCAGCAGAAACAGAGCTTCCAGTTCCTGACTCCCTGTCTGTCTGTCTGTCCGTCCGTCCGTCCAGTGTCGTGTGTATATTAGTTTCCGAGTGTAACCTACCGGCTTTCTGCCCCCGTCGGCCCTGCTGATTGGTCCACCATCTGTGTGAGTTATGAGCTCCTACACCTCGGTCACCCCGGCCCTCCCACGCTATCACCCAACCTCCCACCCACAGCAGCCTCCAGACACGCTGGATACCGCAGATGCCCTCGGTGACACTTGGATCTCATCGGTTGAGCTGTTTCAGTCAGCAGTGCAAGAAGCTTTTGGACCCGTTACCTAACCTAATTTCTATGTGACTTCACATTTCTTTATTTAATCATAAACTGAAGCGCTGAACTGAACTTGAGGTGATGCTGCTCATCCCTCTTACTCATTAAACTGTGGGACACTAAATACACAATTTTTTGCTTTTATATGCTTTTGTTTTATAGTAAACCTACAAATATATTCTATATCTATTTGATATGTTCTGGTTGCTACACTTCTTATCCACAAGTAAACCAAATTTAAGGTTAATATGCAAAAGTAGAAAAGTAAACACATTGTGCACCTGGTAGTAGGAAACCCAGAAAAGCTACTAGCATATTATTGTTATTATTATTATTATTATTATTATTATTATTATTATTATTATTTGTAGTAGTAGTATCGTTGTTATTAATAATAATAAAAAGTATAATGATAAATATACCAGTATTGATTATTAAATTACAACTAGCAATAATAATCCTAATCATAAAACATTAGGATGTATAAGGTTTTAAATGTAAAAAAAGTAGATATAATAATGAAAAAATATAAAATGTTAATATTTTAAAATCAGCATTAAAGGATAAACTTTTTTTTCATCTATGTTTATTAATGTTTATTCTTAAACATATATAAAATGTAAATGGACCAAAACCATTTTCGTGAACTTTTTTGTTGGAGTTTGTGTAATTCTAGTTTTTTCACTGTAAATGTATACTGGTGCTAAATATCTGTCTCCTTGATGACTAATACTTTGCATTATCCCAAAAATAAATAAATTTAAAAAAAGAAAATGTTGTTTTTACCAGTATACACTCATTATTTGCAAGTTTTACTCATGAAAATCTGTTTTTTTTCCTATAATGAAATTGATGAATGAATACAGTACCTATGAACGTATCCACCACCTGGATTTTCCCCTTTTATTGGGATTTCTCTGTACTTTGCTGCATTTATTGTACTCTCTATCTCAACCTACTGCTGAGATGCATCCAAATGTTATGATGCTGCCACCGTCATGCTTCACAGTGTGTTTGTGATGATATGCAGTGTTTGGTCTCCACAATCATAGCATGTAATCTGAGGGCCAAAAGGCTCAGTTTTGGTCTCACTGGACCAAAGAACCTTCTTCCTGTTGACTTCAGAGTCTCTCACATGCCTCCTGCTGGTGAACATTAGCAGAGATTTAATATGAGCGTCTATCAAAAGTGGATTTCTCTTTGTCACTCTCCCATAAAGCTTTGACTGGTGAAGAACAGGCAACAGTTCTATGCAGCTTCTTCCATCTCAGCCACTGAAGCTTGTAACTTCTGTAGGTGAGTCATCAGTGTCTTGGTGGCCAATCTCACTCGTCTATTTCTTGCTCAGTCGGTTAGTTTTTAAGCACAACTTGTTCCAAGCAGATTTACACATGTGTCATATTTTTGCCACTTAATGATGGATTTAACTGTCCTGGAATGAATATTTTCTGAATATATTCTCCACAGTTTCTTTCAGTGTTCTTTTGTCTTCATGGTGTAGTTATATCCAGGATTCACCACACTTTGCAGATACAGATGTTTTTATACTATAATAGCTCTCATTTAACTAACTGTGTCACCTTTAGCACCAACTAGCTGCATCTGTGTTGAATCGATCACTTTAAAGAAGGCGATGACTTATGCAGGTGCCATTACTTTGTAGAAATCAGTTTTCACTTTGACATGAAAGAGTCTTTTTTTGGTAAATTCTTGCCCAGAAATTTTTTTTTTTTTTATGAAATTGGCCATGATTCAGTGTCGAAAAGCAATAAAAAGAAAAAATATTTGTAATTTTTGTGCATTATATTATATATATTATCTAAAATTATTTATATTTCTGTACTGTTTGGCTATCACCATGCTCATTTCTAACTGTATTTACTTCCTACTGGCTCCTTTTGTGAATATATTGATATATTTGTCTTTTTTATTCTTGTATTTGGCACCACTGGAGTTGTCTTTTAATGTCGTTGTACTTTGTGTATGATGACAATACAAGCATTCTAGCTTTCAATGAGGGAAAACATTTTTTAAACACTCTACATTTGGTACCTACAAAAAAAACCAGCGGCGACATCTGCTGAGTTTGTTGTTGTCGTTTAACCGAGGCGACTGTCACCGGCTCATCTGTTCAGCTTCCTCTGCAGCAGCACATTTACTATCCCGAACAGGTTCGACTGAACTCTACAGATTCCTGTGGGAATTAGCGAAATGCCAGAGGAGGGAGTGTGAGATCTGTGTGCGTTTGTGTGTCCGTGTGTGTGATTTGGGTGGAGGGTCGCTCTCCCTGGCAACATCTGAATGGGATCAGCGGCCGGCCAATAGTGAGGCGCTGCACAAAGTTTGCTCACACGTCAAAGGGTTTTTGTCACTTCAGTCCTCTGTGCTGTTGGTGGGTCAGTCGGCTAAACTTAGAAGTGAAAAGCCTCGTCGGAGCTGCTTCAGCTTCTCCAGCTCTCGTTCGCTCAATGGAACGAATAAATCAGAGCTGACGAGGGTCTCTGAGAGCTCTAAGTGCAAACCAACAATAAAACCTGTTTAAATTATTCTCCTACTCAGGCTCTGTTTAGAGGAATTCTTGGACATTCTGGTAAAAATCAACAAGAGCGAGGTCACTTTATGAAGCTGCTAATGGAAGATGGTTAGCTTAGCATAAAGGCTGGGATGCAGAGGTTGAAATAACAGAAAAAGTCAGACTTTGTGCTGTTTTTGGGTGATTTTATAATCAAAGATGTGTCAAAACCAAGAAACATTTAACAACATTTCCTCTTCAGTTCTATACCACGATCACTAATCGTTCTCTTTCAGGTACGAATGTGTGAGATTGTGCAAAACATGAATCCTTTTATCCTTGCCAGTGAGTAATTAGTTTATAATTTAATATAAAAGATAACTTTCCCTGAGTGTCTCGGTTGAGTTAAACAATTTATGGACTTAATTCTACATAAAAGACTCACAACAAATTTGACCAGAAAGTTCAAAAGCAGCCAACTGTTTTGAAAGGGGTGTCCAATCCTGGTCCTGGAGGGCCACAGTCCTGCATGTTTTAGATGTTTCTCTCTTCCAACACACCTGATTCAAATGATCAGGATCGTCATCAAGCTCTGCAGAAGCCTGATAACGATCCTGATCATTTGAATCAGGTGTGTTGGAAGAAGGAAACATCTAAAACATGCAGGATTGCGGCCCTCCAGGATCCGGATTGGACACCCCTGGTTTAAGTGATTCTTAAAGAAAAAAAGTCAAAACACTCCAATTCTAGCTTATAAAATGTGATTATTTTCTAGTTTTTTTTTCTCCTCTGTGGCAGTAAATGTATTATTTTGGGTTGTGGACAAAACAAGACACTTTCTCACCATTTTCTAATATTTCATATCCATCCATCCATCCATCCATCCATCCATTATCTATTCACCTTAATCCTCACTAGGATCATGGGGGGCTGGAGTCTATCCCAGCTGACTCAGGGTGAAGGCAGGAGACACCCTGGACAGGTCACCAGTCTATCACTTAGAGACAGACAACCAAGCACACTCACATTCACACCTACGGACAATTTAGAATCACCAATTAACCTCAACATGTTTTTGGACCGTGCGGGAGGAAGCCGGAGAACCCGGAGAGAACCCACGCTGCACGGGGAGAACATGCAAACTCCATGCAGGAGATCCCGAGTGTCCTCACCTTCTTGCTGCGAGGCAATGATGCTAACCACCAAGCCACCTTGCAGCCCATTTTATAAACCAAACAATTAAACTAATCATTAGTTGCAGCCTTAATCAAAACCAGTTGCATTTTTGGGACGCTACCAGAGAACACACTGTATCATCTGTACTGCTCAGCTACTACTGCTGATATCCATTTCTAGATCTGGATGTAAAACTCACATTTAGCACATTTTCCTTTCTAAAATATAAACGTTTACTTACATATACTTGAATTTCACATCATTTTAGATTGTAAAAACGCTCAAAAATGGAATAAACAGGTAGAATAATAAACAACAACAAGAAACATAAGTGAGAGAGTTGTTCATGAAAAGAATCGTGCAAAATAATCGTTAACAAAATACTCCAAAATAGTGCACTGATTAAGAACTTGACCTAACATTTGTGGTTTATAGTCAGTCCAATGTTAAGTAGAATGGTGTGTTTGTGGTTTTCCAGTTAGTTATACATTTATTTACTTTGAATATAAAGTGGGTAATAATAAATAATTACCAAAAAAAACAACACATGAATATGAAATAAATCCAGGAACAAACATATAGAGGTTTGGCTTCAGCTTTTTTTTTTTACCTTGTATGTATTGTATATATAATTATTGTTTTCTTTATTTTAGTTCCTTTTTGCACTATTTGACAATTCCTATCTATCCATCCATCCATCTATCTATCTATCTATGTTTCTTGTGTGTTTTTACACTTATTGTTGTTGTTTAGGGGTGGTACAGGTGCACAATACATTTCACTGCCTGTTATATTATGTATAATTGTGTTTGTGACCAATAAAGGCCTTGAATCCTTGAGCTTGCACCTTTTCAGTCTAATTAAAGAGCTTTTTGTTTTAGTTTGCTTGGTTTGATAATACTTAATGTGCTCCAGATTGAACTTCAGCTTGACAATAGTTATTATTGTTGTTGTGACCGTTTCATACAGAGACAGAAGTGTGCGTTAAAGAGGTTTGACGTTCAACAATGGAGCCGCACAGGAGGAGTACGTGACCTCGTTTAGGGCTCAAACTGCTTTGTGTTCAACTGAAGCAGAAGAGAAAGCGGCAGCGTCTCCCGCCACCAGAGGGCGGCTGACGGGACGAGGCCAGGCGCCGCTGACCTGCCAAACCCACAGCAAAGTGGGACAGCGACCCTCCACCCACAGCTGCGCCTCCTCTGTGTTTGTTCTGGTCGTCATAACAACTTTGCCGTGACGAGGCGGAGGCGGAGGAGGGTAAGAGGATACGGAGGGAAAAGGCCAGAGGAAGTGTGTGGGCCTGTTGTGCACAGGGATGACCTCACCGAGTTTAATTATCACATCAGCCAGCCTGATATTTTCAAGAACTTTATTCAGCCTCCAGGCTTTGCCCCCCACCGGGCTCTTAAAGGTGAAATCCGCCAGCAACAAAACAGGAAGAAAAAAAAAACCCAGCATCTCTGAGTAACACGCTTTTATTTCAGGACGGGTCCAATCTTAATTCATAAAAAGCTAGATTTGAAATGAAATTATTTAATGAGCTATAAATGCTGTAAATACCTTCACATAAAAGCTGTGATAAAAACACAAACATCTTCAGGGTTTGGAATAAAGCTCCAAACTGAGGCACACAGACTCGATGACTGATATAACGAGAGCTGTGGCATGAAAACGGCTGGAAACTGGTGATAAAACGCAAAAAAACAATCTCCTGAGAGTCTGTGCTTTCTGTCTCCTCATCACGTTAAGCCACACTTGTTTGTTTTTTGTTTTTCCTGGTTATGTTTAGAGAAATCTACACTTCAGCTGAAACAAAAAGAGTTTCCAATTTTCCTCTAAAAGAAATGAAACACTGAAGGCACGAGCTGTTTTCATCGTCAGTCCTCTTTTCACAAAATCTAAATGTTTAATCGCTGCCTTGCAAGATTATAATCTTCACCCTGGTTCTGCCTCCCATCAGAAATATGTATATAGACTAATAAAATAAACATACACCAACAAAGGAAAGCCTTCCTCACTGAGTGGGAACATAAAGGTAATCAGAAACACCTTCAATCAGTTGTAACATCAATCCAGCTGAAACTATTGATGAAAAATAATCAATTAGCAATAGTTCTGATCATTTTATTAGTTAAAACATGACAATAGCTTCTTCAATGTATATTTGCCTGTTTTCCCAGTTTCATCACTATTTTTGGTTTTTGTCAGATGGTTCATTTTGCTTTTGTTTTTTTTCCCCGACTAAACACTCAATTATCAATCAGGAGAAAACAATATCGACACTTTAAACTAGCTCTTGGAGGAGCCTCAATTAATCAAACCACTAAAACAACGAGCACAAGGCTGCAGGGTTTTGGTCGGTGATGCAGCCTTCGTTATGGTTCTCTTTATAAAACGTTGCGCAGAATAAGGCAGCGCGTACATTCATGTTCCTCTGTTTCCACAGAGAAGAAGAAAAACACTGAGCAGCCTGAAAACATGGAAACACCGGAGTGGGCTGATGAGGAGTCTGGTCCCGGGCTTTCATTCTCTTATTGTCAACAAATCGCATGAAAAAATAAAGACCCACAGAACTATTAGAACTCTGAGATGTTGTGCTGCAAAGCTCCGTTGTTGTACGTTAAAAAAGGGCCTCGTGATCCAGCAGAAGTAGCTTCATACTTATTTTCTTTGAACTCTGTGGAATCTATGATGCATTTATCGCATAATTAAGTTTCCCCACAGCGGCACACAGCCTTTAAGATCACCACAATGGAAGTTTTGTGTTTGTTCTGTAATTTTTCAGTTAAATATAGAATACGTGTGTTTTGTGAATGATGTGATTTGTGCATGTGCATGTGAACCCGTTTACTGATGAGCTGTGAAAACTATCAAACCAATCATAAAGAATCAAATCAATAATAATAAAAAGAAACTTCATATTTATAACCTCGTTTAGCCTCTGACCCTTTCATTTATTTTCTTATGAGATTTGTTGACGATAAGAAAAAATACGGAGCAACCACCTCCGTCTGCTTTTTCAGGATAATTCTGATTTATTTTAACGCATTAAAGGTGAATTAAGGTTTCGATAGTTTTTAGATAGTTAGCAGGTGTCAGACTTCCTGTCCCACCGTTCTCCTGTTTCTATGCGTGTTATAAACGTGAGCACTAATGTGTATGAATACTGACTTTTCTTCCAGCACACAGAGTATGGACAGCTAGTGCAGGAGCTCCCAAACCTGCAACTCCAAAACTCCAACATGGTTACATTTAATGGACAAAATATGCCATTTCTAACATTTTTTTTCAAAACTGTGTTTACTTTGGGGACATCTAAGACCTGGAAATTCACTGAATTGGACAAAAAAAGTGTTTTAAATTGGAATCAGTGACTTGAATAGTGAAGCCACATTAATAAGAACTATGGTTGAAATGAACCAGAATTTTCCTCAATTCCTCAGAATGACATCGTAAAGCTTTGCAGTCTGTGGCTGTGTTACTGTCGTCTACGTGTGGAGTAATTTCCAAGAAGTGTACAGGGGCATTATTGTAGCAGAACTATTTGTCAATGCGAATGGAGAGTTGTCTGTCTGAATCTCAATCTGTCCGAAGTGAGATTTGTCACTGTGTAAAAGAAGTTGTCAATGCAAACAGGAATCTGACTGTAATTAGGTGTTCAAATGTGTAAAAACTCTGCTCATCTGTCTTAAAATTTGTACATGTAGTAAGAGTTGTCAATACGTACAACCAGTTGTCATTGCGTACAAAGGTATTAGAAGTTGAAACATCTACATATTCGAATACAAATGCTGAAAATACAGACCAATCACCAGTTACCAGTCGAGCGGCTTCACCATTGGCTGTCTTTGTTCACATGACTTTTGCAACACTTCTGTCGTGAGAGAATCTGAAACTTAAGAGCGTCTGAAAATCAGGGTTTTTGTGTCCTGAGCTCAGGCTCACAGGATCGTCCGTTGTGGCTGCTGCTGCTGCTCTGTACCTCAGCAGCTATCAGGCGGCGCTGTGCATTAGAGTCTTGAGTGTACGAGACACAACGAAAGAATCCCGACAGGTCGATGTAAACAAGCAAACTCTTTAATGCTGGTGCTACTTCATGAAAGTTTTTGCTCAGCGACCCATAATCAGCAGATGGAACTTGTTCACTTATACCTGTTTTTACCTTTTTTTAGAAGGCTCAACAATTGCCTCACTAATTATACAAACTGCAAAAACCACTAACATGAACTCAGTGTGCGCGATCGGGATTCCATCGTTTTCTGCACCCTGTCTCATAATGTCACGTACGCTCAACGACTCTGATGCACAGCGCTGCCTGATAAATACTGAGGTACAGAGCAGCCACAACGGACGATCCTGTGAGCCTGAGCTCAGGACACAAAAACCCTGATTTTCAGATGATCTTCAGTTTCAGATTCTCTGACGGCAGAAGTGTAGCAAAAGTCACGTGTACAAAGACGGCCAATGGTGAAGCCGCTCAACTGGTAACTGGTGATTTGTCAGTATTTTCAGCACTCGAATACGTAGATGTTTCAACTTCTAATACCTTTGTATGCATTGATAACTCTTACTACATGTATAAATTTTAAGACAGATGAGCAGAGTTTTTACACATTTGAATACCTAATTACAGACAGACTCCGGTTCGCATTGACAGCTTCTTTTACACATTGACAAATCTCACCTCGGACACACAGATTGAGATACAGACAGACATCTCTCCATTCACATTGACAAATAGCTTTGCTTCAATAATGCCTCCATAGAAGTGATGAAGATGAACTTGTTGTCGGTGCAAAACATAAAAAGGCTCCTGCGCAGAGTTGAAATAATAAACTTCAGTGAATGAGAGGCTGCTGTGTCACCTGACAACTCTCCTGCAAAGTGCTTCTCCGCCATTGAAACGCCTCCACTGACGACTGCAAACCTAAAATCAAAAACACTCAGGAGTCCAAAAACTCGGCAAATACTCTTCCATGCAGGAAGCCGGGAACAAGCCCTCCGTGTCCGCAGACAACAGCAGGCGGATGTTACGGATCGAAGGTCGTCACTGCGCCTCGGAGGAATTAAAGTCTGTTGGGAGCAGAGTTTCTCTTTAAGTCCCAGGTGAGCAGAGAGCAGCCTCCAGCCTTCAGGTCGCACAAGTACCCGGCGGGACAGCAGTGCTTCGAGTCGGAGCAGCAGACGGCCTGCAGGGACAAACAATTAAACTTCAAAAGATGCTTCGTCAAACAAAACGACGCTACATGAGGTCCTCTCTAACAGGCAGGAACAAGAACTAACCTGCTGGACTCCATGTGCAGCTGTGTAACATCCAGGTACTAATGTTTACTTCTAGAATATATGACGTATACTCTGAGACTGTTTCCTGTGTTCATATAGATACTATTCTACTGTATGTACAGACTGTGGATGTGCAAGTCATTTGCTGGAAAGTCATTAATTACAGGATTTTTCTACATATTTGCCCGCTGCAGGCTCTCTCTACTCTATACTTACTGCACTTTACACACTATAAAGCTAGTATCACACAAAGCCTTCAGTACTTTTCAACAATGTTTTGTGCCAGAAATCTTTTATTTTCAGTTTCAGATGTTGGCAGATAGTAGAGAGTGGAGTAGATAGTAGTAGTAGGTAGCAGGCAGTAGTAGTCAGTAAGTAGTAGTAGTAGCAGTATTAGCAGACAGTAGTTGTAGGTAGTAGTAAGAGGTATCACCAGTAGGTAGCAGCAGTAGTAGTAGTTAGTGATGATGGCAATAGTAGTAGTAGGTGGTAATTAGTAGTAGTAGGTAGCAGTAGAACTAATAGTACTAGTATTAGGTATTATTATTAGTAGTAGCAGCAGCAGCAGCAGCAGCAGGTAGTAGTAGCAGTAGTATTACTAGCAGAAGCTGCAGTAGTAGTAGCAGTAGCACGAGTAGTAGTATTACTAGTAGTAGTAGAAGCAGTAGTAGTAACTGCAGCAGTATTACTGTTAGTAGTAGTAACGTTAGAAGCAGTAGCAGCAGCAGTATTACTATTAGTAGTAGTAGAAGTAACATTAGAATCAGTAGCAGTATTACTGTTAGTAGTAGTAGTAATGTTAGAAGCAGTAGCAGCAGCAGCAGTAGCAGTACCATTACTATTATTGCAGTAGTAATACTGAGGCCACTGTCTCCTGAAGCTGCGTTTATTTGGTTCATTTTGTCTTCTTGGTGCATCATTTACTGTTATTTGGTTGTTGTTGTCTGTTTCCACCAACTAATGCACTTCTTGCTGCATCTTTACAGTCTGAGCTGACAATGTCTTGACTTGTCACATCGGTCTGTTTTATTTCTGTTGCCAAAGCCAAAAACCGTAATATAACCTGGATGAAACAATCACACCACTGTTGTTTTTAGGACTTAAAGAGCTGGATTTACTACTAACTTTACAGAAAACAAAAGGGATTAAAGGATCATTCTAAGTTTATTTCAGCCTGATGCATTTCCCTTTAATGTCTCTAACGTAATTGTGCATTTAAAGATCTAACTTATGTGTTCCCTTTAAACTAGACTTGAAGACTTAGTCTGTTTTCCACGATACATGGAAGCTGATAACAAACATTTGTTGTGTCCATCTGTGATCCAGATGTTTTATAAAAGGCCAGTTTCACCTGAAAAGTTTTAAACACGGGACTGGAACTAAACATCAAGCCTCCTTATACATCAGCGAAATACAAGAATATGTACATTTACTTACAATTAGGTACGGTTAGCAAATAGAAAATTTCACATTTTCCATCTAAATCTCAACATCTTGAACTGTATTTGTCGATTTGTCTGTACGTTAGAGGGCTGGAATGTGGTTCACTAAATCAGGAAAGCTGCAGCAGACTTATTTCTGTTAACAGTTGGTTCAACCAGGGTTTTTCCTGCTTAGATGAATTTTAAATGTCTCCTAGAGAGGTTTCAGCCAGCATCAAAATGATACGAATTGAGAATTACATAAATTGAGAAAAACATAAATATTCATTTTTAACCATTTTTTAAAAATAAAATCAGAATTTCATTTATTCAACTATTACAGACATTGTTGTTCAGCAAATTGCAGAAATAGCAGCAAATTAGACTGATTTCTGTGGAACAAGGTGACACAGACTGTGAAGTCACTGCTCAAAGGCCCATTGTGAGGATTGAATATCATGCTACACTCACAAAAACCCTGAGCAGCTGCATGTTTCCCTCCAGGCGGGAGAAGAGCACACTGATCACTAAGACTAATGTTTACACAAGGAGGAGAATAACGGAGCAGAACCACTGCACAGGTCCACGTTCACTGAGCTTCTTCGGATCATATGTTCACATTTTACGCATTCCAGCCGCTTGAGTCAGAAAAGAGACCATTTCAGAGGACATCTCTATGGAAGAGCAGGGTCAGTCGGGTATTTCCGTACATCTGGTGGTTGCTGAGTCAAAACGAACCACTGTTGCTGGCCAGAAATACAGGAAATGTCTTTGTGCTCTTAAACTTGTCATCATTGTGCTTAAAAGTTGTGAAGCAGCATAACGTGGGGAGGGAACAGAATTCTTTTTGCAAGCTTCCATCTCATAAAAAACATCCCCAGAATGAAGCCGTGTGTGGCTGAGCGCTGTCAACAAGCAGAACAGGGAAGGAGCCACCTCTGAGGAAAGCATTGTGACAGACATGGTGCCGCCTTGGATAAAACTTCAGTCAGCGCTAAGACATAAGTTCATTTCTTCTACCTACGAGGGTATTTCACCTGGAAACAAGAGCGCGTCACTCCCATTTTGAGGCATAACTGTACTGTAAAACCTTATATGCCCGTCCACAAAACCCAATGGTTTGTCGTCATTTACTTGGAATGTTGGAACCAGATCAAAAGCTGAACAGAATAGAAATTTCAAGGACACTTTCAGCGCATTTTTTGTCTAATTTTGCCAAATTCTTCAGTATTTTGTGACCCAGGATGAGACAAGGGTTCTTAAATCAAAGAATCTCAGAACCACAAAAATAGAAACATGCCGATTCTCTGTTTCTCAAAAAGTTAAGGGAAGTGGTGTCTGCCAGCAGAGTGATGTCTTCTGTTGCTGAGGAGAATCTGGAGGCTCAAGATGTGACCTTCTTCCACAGAAAAACAGTGCAAGAATAGTCTCTATTCTGTGACGTTTTCTGGTGAAGCCGAGAACTTTTTGAAGTACATATTTGCACATGGGGATATAATATGACTGCAGTTTTACAGTTACTGTGCCACATTCCAGCAGAATCTCTTCTAGTCTGTAAGATATTAACGAACAGTTTTTGCTTTTGGACTTTCCAATTATGTTTGTCATAAAACATATAAAAAATTCTTCAAGGGCACCACTATAGCTCACCTGGTTGAGCTGGCGTCCCATGTGCAGGGCTACAGTCCCAATGTGGAGGTCATGAGTTTGAATCCCGCTCATGACCCTTTCCCACATGTCCTCCCCCCATTCTTCTCCCCTACTTTCCTGTCTCTCTCTCACTAATACTATCCAATAAAGGCACAAAGGCCAAAAAAATAACTTTAAAAAAATAAATAAATAAATTCTTCAAATGCATTTGCAATTAGACTCGTTGATAGAAGACAGTTTTCACCATGACGCTACCATCGACAGTCATAAACTACGTACTGTGTTCATGTGAACGTACCCTGGAGGAGGGGCAGCAGCTCCATTCTGTGTCCGAGATCTTACAGCAGGTGTCTTTCTTGGGGCAGTGAAACTCCCCCGTGCTGTCGCATGGCACCTCCTCCTCGTCCTCGGCGACTCTCTGCTCAGACTGCAACACTTTGATCTGAGGGAGGCTGTAGATCAGCACGTCGGTGTCGCTCTTCTTCTCGCATGTTCCCGTCTGCATGTTGCAGGTGTATCCCTGAGGACAGCAGTGCTCTTTGTCGGCACAGCAAACCGCCTGACGAGGAGACGACGGACCAAGAAACAGTTTAAGTCAGCGTGTTGGGTTCACAAGGGAATAACTTTAGCAGTTGAAGATGCTGGAAGTCATTCTGACCACATTTTATTTACATTTAATTATGTTGGTCAGTAGTTGAAGCACTTAGAGCCTTTTTTTAAAAAAACTCCTCACTGTGTATTAAAGTTACACATTTAAAATGTTTCCCCTTTCAATCAGCTCTTCATGCCTTAAATCAGGGGTGTCAAACTCTGGTGCTCGAGAGCCCCTATCCAGCATGTTTTAGATGTTTCCCTCTTCCAACACACCTGATTCAAATGATCAGCTCATCATCAAGCTCTGCAGAAGCCTGATAACGATCCTGATCATTTGAATCAGGTGTGTTGGAAGAAGGAAACATCTAAAACATGCTGGACTGTGGCCCTCGAGGACCAGGATTCGACACCCCTGCCTTAAATGGTTTAGATGTAATTCTACACTGTTGCCTCTGCTTGAACACTGTAAACACACTCCATGTTACACAACTGTAAAGACGTACATGTTGGAACCAGTCCAGTGTTTACAATTGATATTTTAATTAGCAAAAGAACACAACATTCTAAATCTTTAGGTATATGAACAGATCAAGCAGCGTGGATATTTTTTTTCTAAATAAACGTATATATGAAGAAAAAAACAGTGTGATTAGAACAAAAACAAAGTTAATACAAAGTCCTTTAAAGAACTTATTTTGAAAATTAAAAAACAAGTGATTATTAGTTTCAAAAAATTGTTGGGAATGAGGGACTCACTAAAACAGAGATGGAGGCGTTACAAAGGAATATATTTGCAAATAAACAGAAAATCAGTGCTCTGTCCCAAAGGAAATCTCTTTAAAGGAGCATTAATGCAAATATCAAAGGAGCACTTGTGTAGAAGAGGATTTTGTTAAATGCCTGACATAACGTAAAGTCAGAGATGTACGGACCTTGACCAGAGGGCAGCAGCCCCACTCTCCTGTCGGCAGTTTGCAGCAGGTCGTCCCTGAAGCGCAGCTGCTCTTGTCGTCGCATTTAACATCGTTGACGGCGCTCGGCTCGGTCAGAGCGCTCAGTTTGGTGAACCAGGGAACGACACGGAGGCCCTGAGAGCAGGAGGAGCGGTGGGGCTCGCAGGTGTGTCCGCTGGGGCAGCAGTGGTTTCCATCTTTACAACAGACGGCCTGATGGGAAACAAAGGTAACATTCAGATGAGCTCAGACACTCGCTGACTCGAGTCCCAGCAGGGTGAAGTCGGGAAGTAAGCTCACGTTTGGCAGAGGGCAGCAGCCCCATTTGTGGGTCCGGTCCATGAAGCAGCAGGTCGTGTCTCTGGGGCAGCTGGTCTGGGCATCGCACATGTTCTTGGCAGGTCGGGTCGGACCGGAAACGCCCCGACTGGACTCCTTCTGCAGGGCCGGTATCTTCTGCAGCCAGGGCAGGCTCAGGTCTCCGGGTTTGTCACAAGTCTGCTCGGCCACATTGCACTTATAGCCTTTGGGGCAGCAGTGCTCGTGATCGTTGCAGCACACGGCCTGGAAAAAAAAAACAGCTCTTTAATACAGACTGGAACCCTTCAGCGTGTCAGATTTTCACTTCAACAGTCTTAAAATGATTTCATACATTAAAAAAAAATTCAAAGAATGCCACACAGTGCTGAGACATTCCTGCTCTTCTTCACATGATTCATAATTATCAAAACCACAAATAGTCCATTAACAAGAGTTCTGCAATTAAACATAAACCACTGAAACAACATTCTTTCCTTTACACTTTTGGATAATTTAATGATTCTATATGTTTAGTTTCCTTTTTTAACTTTGTTTCTGAGAAATCTGAAGACGTCTGGTTTAAATGGCTCTAAGTGTGACTGCAGTTTATAGTTGGTGAAGTCAGCAGAAAGAAGAAACTCGTAATTGCAAACCTAAAAGTCACATTTGAAAAAAGGTAGTTTGTCATTTTTATTGTGAATCATTAGCAGCTGCAGCTTTTTGTCATTCGGTGAAGACAGATAAAAGGAAAGTAAAGCACCTTTAATGAGCTGAATAAACTGTTTTATTCCTAATATTATCTGTTTTTGGAGGGTAGAAACAGAAACTGAAGTTTTATTTCTTGATTGCATTGTGTATTTTTTGTTTTTATGTCTGTAATGAAAATCGTAAACTTGTTTAAAAAGTTCAAGACAAATTCAATTTATCATTATTATTATTATTGTGGAAAAAGAGCTAGACATATGACAAATATTTTTGAGACTAAAACAAAACTTTTTTTTAACAGTTAACTGTTTGGATTTTTGCTTTATAAAATAACAATCACAGATTATTAAAATTGTCACATTTTCTGCTGAGTTTCAAATCCATCCGGCGTTTTAAACAACTCCAGCTGAAAATCATCTAACTCTCTCTATGAGAAAATAAACAAGAGTCTTGTTTCGGGGATGCTAAGTGAATCTGAAATAACTACCAGAGCTGACAGTCGTCAGGAGCAAACAGACCCTCAGTTATCAGCACTTCACAACACACCAGCTTCACGTGACAACACAAGCTCAGAAAGCCCTCGAACCATGATGCAGAAGGAAGCTGCTGACCTGAGGTAGAGGGCAGCAGGCCCACTGTCCAGAGTTCTTCTTACAGCAGGTGGTGCCTCCCGGACACATGGTCTGCTTGTCGCATTTCTCATCCTTCGCCTGCGAGGTCATGGCGGACACCTTCGCCAACCAGCGGACGGACGGCGAGGAACCGGACGGGTCGTCGCAGGTTTCAGCCTCCAGGTTGCAAACGGTGCCGTGAGGGCAGCAGTGGAGGTGATCGTCGCAGCAAACAGCCTGGCAGGGAGGCAGAACACATCACGTTTTTATTAAAGCTCTGCCAGCTGAGTTGATATTATTATAACATAACACATAAAATACTGGAGAATGTACAGGAACATACTGGACGTGTACAAAAAATATCAATCTGCAGCATTTTCTCAGCTTTGGCTTATTCAAACTTTCCAACCGTTTCAGTGCGATAGTTTAAGTTGTGTAATTGTTTGTCTGTTCTCCATCTGCTATCCTGCTATCCCCCCCCACCCCCCTCATCCTCACTCTCACCCCACCCGGTCGAGGCAGATGGCTGCCTTCCCCGAGCCTGGGTATGTTGGAGGTGTTTTTTTGGTTCCTTCCCAACGTTGCTGACTGCTTGTTCACAGGGAGTCCAAAGGCAACTTTAGATTGTTGGGTTGTTTGTTTAAAATTTATAAAGTCTTCAAATCACAATGTAAAGTGCTATGACATTACATATGTTGTGAATTGACGCTGTACAAATAAAACTGAACTGAACTGAACTGAATTTGCGACTGAAAAACTTGTTACTTCTTATTACTTCAGTTTTGTGAAAGTTAAACTGACGTTGCTCTCAGAGCTGAAGAGGACGAAGATTCAAAGATGTACTTGCATAAAGCTGACCTCTACTTTCCACTGTTCTTGCAGACTGTGAATTTGACAGTTTTTAATGCACAAGAAAAAACCAAAATGCTTCAGTCCAGTGCAAAATCAATGCATCTAAATCTGTGCATTATGGATATTTTGTACATGTAAAATACTCCGTCCAATCAAGTTTTTTTTTTCTACATATAGAAGAGCATTTACAATATCACTACAATCTGTGCATCAGTTTTTTACATCAGTATTTGTCTATGGAAGAATCTGTGCAATACTCATAAAAATAAAATAACAGTTTGTTTTTTGTTTTTTTCAATCAATCAATCAAATACTACCGCAACCGTGAATTGTTGGTCGGTGAAGTCGGCAGAGAGAGAAAAATTCGACTGCAAATCAAGAAGTTCTGGCTAAGAGAAGGTCGTGAAGACTAAATTTGGTCATTTTTTGTATCTATATTATTATTTAAATACATATTATGATTTATGAGATGAGTGAAAACAATGCAGAAGTGTCCCAGATCACCCGAGGCAGAGGACAGCAGGCCCAGGCTCCATCCGGCGTCTTGCAGCAGGTGGACTTTCCGGGACACGACGTCGACTTGTCGCACTTGCTGTTATCGCTCGGTAAGGGGAAGGCGGGCGTTTTTCCCAGCCAGGGCATCACTGCGTTGCCGGTGGGATCGTCGCATGTGGACGCTGCCAGGTTACAAATGGTGCCGTGTGGACAACAGTGCAGGTGGTCCTGACAACACACAGCCTGCAGGGAAGGAACACGACAAATATGCATCACATGTTTATTAAATAGCTCAAAAATGAAGCCAGAATAGAACATCTGAGCAGGAAAACAGGCTCACTTCTGCTAAATACAAAGACCAGACTGAACAAACGTTTGCATCGTCATTGATTTATATTTCTACACAAGTGTTGCAACAAAGGGCTGCAAGGTGGAGCAGTTGGTTAGCACTGTTGCCTCGCAGCAAGAAGGTTGCCGGTTCGTGTCCCGGTGGGGGCACCGGAACCATTCTGCGTGAAGTTTGCATGTTCTCCCTGTGCAACGTGGGTTCTCTCCGGGTTCTCCGGCTTCCTCCCACACAGTCCAAAAACATGTTGAGGTTAATTGGTGATTCTAAATTGTCCGTAAGTGTGAATGCGAGTGTGCTTGGTTGTCTGTCTCTAAGTGTAGCCCTGTGATAGACTGGTGACCTGTCCAGGGTGTCCCCTGCCTTCACCCTAAGTCAGCTGGGATAGACTCCAGCCCCCCCGCGACCCTCGTGAGGATAAAGCGGTGTGTAGATAATGGATGGATGGATGGATGTTGCAACAAAACAAAGTTCCCTGACTAAAATAATTAGTCTGAGATGGGAAAGGCTGTTAGTTGAGATCACTGAGAGCTAAAAAGTACAGAAAGAGGATGATGTATGTTTTGACGTCTCAGTTCAACGTGTAAAGATGTGAATTATAAGCTAAATCCACAGATGCAAATCGACAAAGTGTAGTCCAATAAACAGATAGTGTGCATTTTGGATTACGTCTTTCCATTAGTCTGACAGATAACGCGTTATGGAAGAAAAATATCCTAAAACCAGTGCATTAAAAACACGATTTTGCTTGCAGTGTGAAAAAGCATCAAAGACAATGCAGTAGTTTCATCTACAACAGAACATCCTTTTTATTAACATGCTTTCTGCATTAATCATATTTACATATATTTCTATACGAGTGTTGAAACAAAACAAACTTCCCAGAGTCTTACAGAATCACGGTCAGAGATCACTGACGGCTAAAAAGTGCCGAAAAATAACGATTTATGAGCCGACGTCTCAGTTCACGCGTTGAGTAATTCTGTGCAGCTGGATGAAGAGAAAACCACCTGCATGATTCACATGCAGCACTTTGACGTACCTTCGGTAAAGGACAACAGGCCCATTCTCCTCCTGCCGATTTGCAGCAGGTGCTTCCGTCAGCGCAGGCCACAGAGTCGTTGCAGGGAACAGCGTGGACTGAAAATCAAAAGAAAAAATGATTATAGATTGAAAGCTATTATTGTAAACTGCATTTTGCACTTTGGATGAAGGATCAAAATTGATGCAGCAGAACCAGAAATACACAATCTTGTTTTTATTCCACACAATGTTCTTGTCTGGTGCCAACATTACCCACAATGCAACATGATCACTGACAAACGTTCACTATTTGTGGGTTTTAGCTTTAGAAATAGTTGTACACCCTCAACAACGTTTTATCACAGAGGTCTAGATAGAGCTGGAAGAAGTACACAAGTACCAGTACTAATACCACACTGCTAAAAATAAAAGGAACTTCAGTTAAAAAAAGAAAGAAGTAATAAATGTACTTGTTGCAGAAAAATGTTGTGTGTTACCTCAAATTATAGAACTTTTTTTTTAAGTGCAGCTCAGTTTGAATTTTGTTTAAATGAAAAAAACCATCATAAAAATTGTTAATTATTTTCCTATTAATCAGATCAATCGACCATTTCCTCTTTTCATTGTTGAGTAGTTTAGCCTATAACAAGTTTAATCTATAACAAAATACTACATTTAACAAACCCTTCATTTGATTTGGTACTTGAAGCTCTTAGATTAACGCATTGAAGTAAAAGTACAACATTTGTTACAGAAATACAAGTATGAAGTGAGGAGAAAATACTTAAGTACACATAAATATATTCAATTACATTCCACCTGTTCTTACTCACAGCTTGCTTTGTGTACTGTACAAAGGTGTGTGTCTTTCTAAAATCTACCTGATCAACTCATTTAGCCACAAATATACTCCAGTCAAGTTCTAGAAACATTTAAAGGGTAAATAAAGCAAAACCGTCGTGCAAATTTACCGTCAACAACAACATTAGCATTTGTCTTCAAGGTCTATAATTAATGATCTCAGTTTAAAACTAAAACTGCTCCACTGACAACTATTTTTAGGGAGTAACTGATAACGTTCAGGAGCTTCACCACAGTAAATGAAGGTTCTGGAGACACCTACTCAATACCAATTAAACATTTACAGAGTTCGATCACAGCGGCATTGAATACACGTCAGACGTGTTGAGCACTGCCTCCTATAAACAGGTTGTGCTTTGAGATGGTTTCTCCTCACCTTTGCTCGTCGCTGCCGGTTCTGCCACAGCAGCGAGCATCTTCACGGTCATGGGGGTTTCTTTGTGGACGGACACACAGGTGCTGTGGACCAGGTCGCACTGGGTGTCTGCAGGGCAGCAGTGGATGTGATCTGAACAGCACACGGCCTGTGAGAAAAGAAGGAAGTAACCCTCATGTTTAGATCCACAGATCAAAACGGACGCCTCTGAAGTATCCCTTTAAGGCAGATTTCTATTTTTTTTAAGTGTAGCAGTTGTTCAATTTACATGGAGCCATTTTATTTAAATAAATGTGGAGGCATCAGGTTAAGTCATAATTTAGAGTTTCTTGCCTGCTAGAAACTGGCTGACACTTTCTAATGGCTGTTGCTTAAATGTCCCTTTAATGTGCATCTTTGCAAAGAAAATGGCTTATCATTGCTTTCATTAATCAATTGTTATTATCATTTGTAGAAAATGATTCTCAAGCGTGTGATCCAATTTGATCAAAAAAGCAAAGTCACGAGAAGTTACCATTATTTATGCAGCACATTTAAAACAACAGATGTTGAGCTGAAGTGTTTTCCAAAAGAGAAACAAGATAAATGCTGCACATTTACTTAGCAAGTTTACAGATCAAAGTTAAGATCCTGCTATGTTCATGATTACATAAATGTGCCTGACTAATTTTAATATTAGGATTTGGACACATTATATACCACACTAAATTACCGGATGAATTTGAATATTAGGATCCTACAAAATTATACGTAAAACAAAAGGAAACAAAGACTCCCTCTGAGCAAGAACAACAGTGCAACTCTTGCACCTTAGAAATATTTAACCTTCAGCAAATTAAAGCAGATAATGCCATTTTGAATCGTTCCCAGGCTGTTTTTTTGTTTTTTTAAAGCACTAGTCTAACCATCTGGTTTCAGACGAACAACAGAGGCTCTTTTCAACTCCTCCAAGCGTCGGATCCTTAACTTCCAGTCGACACCGGTTTTTTTACTTTAAAAAAAAAAAGTCACATCGATTTAATTAATACACTTTCCTCTCATACAAAAATTAACATGCCTAACAAAAAAATTTCAAAATAAAATACTATTCATCTGTAAACATTCCAGAAGTGTGCCAAAATTCAAGCACAAATGTGAATGTAATCCACAGCACGATGAGAAAACTGCTAAGTTTCATTAAGCATTAACTCCACTACTTCAGGGACATACATGCATTTTTGACTTGCTATCAGTACAACTAGACTGACAAGGAGAATACAATCTGAACAGAATCAGATTCAGTGCTATTGGCAAAGTATGTAAACAAGGAATTTGTATGCATGTAGTTGGATTGCTCTCAAAGTACTTATATATAATAAGAAAAACAAAAACAAACAAAAAAACGTGCATTTAAACAAAGGCAACAAGTAAAGAAGGACATGAGTGTTCCACAATAATGTGCAGCTATAAATGCATATCTAAACGTTAGTGAAAACTAGTCAATAACAATAAATATGGAGTTGTTGACACTTTATATAAACGAGTTAGGTGGATGATACAGCGCAAGATTATTTCCCCACCTTATTGTCAGAATACTCTGAACAACACTCATCAGAAGCCACACAGTCCAAAGTGTCCCCCAAACCTTAAAGATTTTAATCTTACTGTGACAAAACACACACACACAAAAAATCTAATTTGCATCTCCGAAATTCTTACTTTCTTGCCTGATAAAATAGCAAAACTTAAAATGTTGTCTGAGATCAAAAGTCTGTGTATTTGTAACTTGCTGCTTAATCTAAATCAGGGGTGTCCAATCCTGGTCCTCGAGGGCCACAGTCCTGCATGTTTTAGATGTTTCCCTCTTACAACACACCTGATTCAAATGATCAGCTCATCATCAAGCTCTGCAGAAGCCTGATAACGATCCTGATCATTTGAATCAGGTGTGTAAAACATGCAGGACTGTGGCCCTCGAGGACCAGGATTGACATCCTGGAGCCCCTCGGATTCCTAGAGGCGGCTTCAGCTTGGCATTACTTACATTGGGCATCGGACAGCAGCCATATGTTCCATTGGTCATCTGGCAGCAGGTGGTCTGATCTGGACACACTGATTTCTGATCTGGACACACAACTAAAGGAAAGAAATGAAAAGACAAACAGGGTGCACTGATCAATAACTGTCTGTTTAGTGCTTTCAAAACATAAACTGGGCTTTAAATTCTGTCAGCAGCATGTAAATAAACCAGTTAAAATGCTTACTGTCTTTGGGTGCAGCAGCGATCTTCCTCATCATGGGCACGTGACTCTCACCAGACCTGCAGACGCCACGCTCCAGGTCACATATCGTGTTGCTAGGGCAACAGTGGAGATGATCGCTGCAGCACATGGCCTGCACATGATTCAAAACACAGAGCGAGCCAGAAATGTTTACTAGGAAAAAAAATGCATGATTTTTACAACTAAAGACAAAAATACACATTCAGTTTTAGCTCCAGTGTTGCCATGACTGTCTCCTACAAGCTAAAATGCTCCCAGGAAGTGTCACTTGTGTAGCTGTGGAATAAAAACTGTGCGAGCTACAAAATGTTATTTTACTTTAAGCCTGAGATTGTGCTGCTGCACCTGCCTGTACATAACCTCTGCTCCAGTGTTATATTGTAATATTTACCAGCCAGTACTTAAAGGTGAGATGTAGTTACTAAGTGGTAAAAATGAAGAAGCTGCAGTTCCTTGAAAAACCACTAGAGGCTGAATCCAAAAACATGTCAATCCCTATAGATCTCTATTTTAAAACGCCCAACTTTACATCAGAAATAAACACATCAACAGCCTGGTACAAATAACAGCTTTGGTTCTACAGCTAATTTCCCCATTTGTTGCATCTGTTCAAATAGTACATTTCTATATAAGTCAACCATTTAAATTGTATTTAAGGCTCAAAGTTACACAAAACTAAGTAGTCAACCACAACACTGAGCTTCAAACCTTTAGTTTTTCCATCTTTTTGTACAGTCAATGACATTTAATCGACTTGGTATTTAGATTCTCTGTCAGGTGCCACAGTATTATTATAAAGATGTGACATAATAAAAAAAAAAACACAGTGCATAACAGTGATTCTGTTAGATACTTCTGTAATCTTGTTATTTAAGTCGCGTTTATGGAAAGATTCAACATCTTCTTCTGATTCAAGTTAGATGAATCACTCAAGAAAGCAAAAATAAGAACAATGATTTGATTATGCTATGTAAGGGTACCAAATAGTCAAATAACTCTTCTTATAGAGTAAAAATAAATTATATAAGTAACTCTTCTTACTATAATGGCTGTAATTAACATTTCTAGTAGCATTTTGCATTGTGTGTGTGGTTTTCTAAATCACAATATGAACTATTTTAATGAGCAAAGACACACATTTAGAAAAGATATTGATTTGGATCTGACATTTGCCCACACAGCTGACTACAGTTCATGCTTTACTTCCACTTGCCTCGACTACCGTGACTCTCTCTATGCAGGAATCAGTCGGGCAGTCTTATCTTGCCTGCAGCTGGTTCAAAATACAGCAGCAAGACTCCTCACACACATCTCTCCAGTACAGGCTTCTCTTCACTGGCTACCAGAATTGATTTTATGATTCTTTTATTCGATTTTAAAACACTGCACAGACTGGCTCAAGATTACATTTTTGCAATGCTCATCCCCCTTGTTTTCACCTGCAGACCCTTCAGACTGTTCTTCATCCCACGCACCGACAAAACAAAACAAAAAAAACAATACTGATCGAACGTTTTCTGTCACTGACTCTAAATTGTGAAATCGTCCACCATGAACTGTTCCATCTACCACCACGTTATTGTCAGGAAAGTCCCCAGAACCCCACATTCTTGCAGCACGACGTGATCCTGAGCCTACAATTTAATTATAAAGGTTCAGTTTCATTTTATTCATCACAGATTACAACAGCGCTCTTCTAGGTAATTTCCTCTGTAAACCTCATACGATCACTGGGGACTGAACTAAACCAGAGAGCTTTAGAGCCAATAAGCCAAACTTAAAAATATGATTGCTCTGCTGTTCACGCTGGTCTCTTAAATGTATAATATGTGTGCATTTACTACTTTAACACTCAAAATATTTACCACTTTTTGTAAATTAATCTCTTTCTCTGCAACCAACGCAATGACATCCACTTAAATTTATATTATCAAGTAATATACCCGAGTAGATCGGCTTAATTTCTTGGGCTAAATCATTTACATGAAGGGAAAATAATGTAAATTAACATGCATCGTCTTGCTTCACTCCAAATGAGGCAGGAAACCAGCAAATCCTGAAGTCATTTATCTGCAGGCCATAAAACTAGGCTTTTATACAAGGCTTTTTAAGACTCTCGATCAATACCAGAACACATTAATTTATTCTCTAAAAGGTCTGTATTGATCCAATAAAAGGCTTTCTTGAATTCAACAAAACAAGCGAATGTGTTGGCGCTTCTTGTAGTCTTGCTTTCAACACGTAAGCTTTTCCTAAAACCATTCTGTTCATCCACTGTGATTCCAAGAGTTGTAATGATTTGGTCCATCGGTGAGGATACCTGAAGATAACTTAGACACTATACTGCTCAAAACTAATGCCACTTGTAAGTGAACGGTACTCGAGGATGAACTTATTCTGAACTTACGCAAGTTTATTGTAGAGTCCTTCCACACTGATTGAATAATGCCATTCTGAGTGACAAAAAAATGTAATAAAATAAAATAAGAATAGTGTTTTACATACATTTTCTTTCAAAATATCTAGGTCTGGCTTTAGCAGATTCTTTTTTTAAATCAATATGTATTTAGGTGGACTTAATATCAAATTAAATTTAGCATTCAGTCATTAAATATTAGATTTGTTACCTACTTTTTCTTCGTGTCAGCACAGTTACTTAAGTGTGCCAATACATAAGCACATTAATAAGTATTCGTCAGTCTCATATTTTCTTATTATAGATTCTTTCGGTGTGATTTTTGCCGCATAACTCGTCCCGCAGCTTTGAGAAAATCCACACTAATTATATATCAAAATGTGCGGCTTGATCAGGTATGGTGTCCTATGACATTTGGTCGTGAATTGTTGTATGGTTTTGACGAATAACTGCGGTAATTTTCCCCATTAAAATGAATGGGAAGGCAACAGCCAAAACCCAGCCATCTTTGGAGCCCTGTAGTTCTGCCATATTTTGCAATAGAAACTTAATTCAAAGTTTAAACCTGTCACAAAGCCTTGAATGTTATTTGTCTAAATCTATATTTTGATATCTTTTATGGTTTTTACACAGCCGGAGCTTAAGTGTTATACATTTCGGGAAATTTCTGAATTTTCCATCAGCTCGAGTGGGCGACACTACGTGTGACGTATATAAATATTACATATAACATAAAATAATTATTCATATATATTGGTATCACAAAACTGCTGTCATTATGTTCATTGTCATCTAATCAAATAACTGCATAGCCTATGAAATGAAAACAGTCGGAGCAGTGGAGCAAAACCCCAAATGTATTTAGCTACAAAACAAAAAAAAATCCTCCACCGACTGATAGATTGAGCTGATTATATTTATAGGAGTTGTAGGTACCTCTGGAAAGGGGCAGCAGCCATAATCTCCGCTGGTTAGCAGGCAACATGTGAAGCTATCTGGACAGGTGCTTTTCCCACCAGGACATGTCACCGAACCGACAGAAGGAACTGCAGAAGCATGAAGATCAGAGAAAGTCATTCGTTATTAGCGCAGTATCATCTGCATAGAAATGTAGCGACAGCAGAAGGTGAAATCTTTTTACATGAATGCACCGTCATTAAATTTGACGGCTCGTTTTGAAGGTGTTTATTTACACCTGGATTATTCGCCCTCCTCCTCGCAGGCAGTTTCTCCAGCATGGGGAAGGACTCCAGCGAGGCAGACACACACTTTGAGTGAACCAGATCACACTTTGTTCCCTCCGGGCAACAGTGGCGCTTGTCCTCGCAACACACCGCCTGCAGAGAGAGGAAAATCACTTCTGACAGTCAGGAACACTGCTCAGTCAAGGACACAGTTTCCTGCACATAATGGAAAAGTACAACAACTGGAATGCAGACAGTGGAGGAGGATTAATAATGAATAGCCAGCAAATGGAAATGGAATGCTTTCGAATTACTAGATGACAAACATTTTCAATACAAAACACAGATTATAATTACGGATCAACTTAGAGATAGATGTGTCTTTTTATTAAATTAATTAAACATGAGCACCGAGATCAGTGATGCTGTCTAGCTCATAGCAAGCAAACGATAAATAATTACTGAAACTATGATTGAATACAGGAATATGAAGATGAAATGAATAAATTACTAAAATTATGAAGCAGGAACATCTTTTAGAGCCATTTTACTGTTATTACAACCTGACCCGTACTGGATTTTTAATATTTCTTCCATGAACACACAAAGATTTTTGATATGAAACAATTAAAAAATTTAGTTTCAAACCTGTGCTGAAACAAATTAATTTAAGGAAATTTCCTACAGGCCAAAATACACGTTTCAGGTTTCATGTCAAGTTTATTACTAAGGCTCTAAAAATGAAAATAAATATTTTAATTTACAATAGCAAGTCATACCAGAGGCTCAAAGTAGTTTTCGTACATGGTTGTAAAAGAAAAACTTTGTTCTTAAAAACTCTAAAAATGCAACTTAACAAGAGAATTAGATTCTTAAGCCCCAGCGGGACGAGGTTTGTTTATTTCTAGTGGAATTTTGACTAATTTAAAATTAAAAGTTAAGGTACACAAAATAAAACGATGGACTTAAATCAGTTCTTTTCTGTCAGTACAAATTAAACTGGCTTTCCCAGTAAATACTTGACAAAAAATACAAAAACATTTGTGCTACACAGTGTTGTCGTTTTAACAAGTGAAAGAACAACTTTAATTGATCAACTATTTTGTTTTCATACAGCGCAAAGTTCCTGGCCAGAAAAGTCAGACGTCTGGCTTGCGGAAGTCCAGTATTTTTCAGGTTATAGTTATATTTTTCTCCTTTTTTTTGTAAAACCCATATTGTAATTCAGCAATTTCGTGCAAACTGATGCCCATGAACAAGCATCTGTATTTGATTTTATACGATTATTACCCAGATGTTGACAGATATCATACCTAACTTCTTGTACCTGTTTCGACTGGAATATTTTTAGTCATGTAGATGTTCAGGTACATATCACTGGATTACTGTGAAACTGAAGAAAATGTGATGAATAATTCTAAAGCAGGCTCTGCGGCATCCTTTTTTATGATTTATATGTGGACTAACGGGTGTTTATTTATATTTATTTGCTTGCTGTTTTTGTTTGTTTTGCAGATCGTCGTGTCTGTTAGAGAGCACAATCTGTACTAGTTTAAAATTCAATCTGAAATGAGTTTAATGTTTTATCTGCCACCTTCCCCTGCAGTGTAAATCCTGTTTACATGTCTTTATACCTACATGAGCAGCTAGCAGACTGGTTACAGACTGACTATGCAACATGTTTCATTGTGTAAAAAGCTTAGGGTTTGTGTTCAGCCGGGGATTTTAGGTGAAATAGTGTTTTAGTGTGTGAGCGTCACCTTGGCTAATGGACAGCAGCCCCAGGAGCCGTCAGGAAGCTGGCAGCACGTGGTTTCATCCGGACACTCGGACTCCTGGTCGGGACAAATGACTGCCTTCACTCTCTCTCCGAGCTGCAGCCATCGCACATCACAGCCGACGCATACCAACGACAGGAGGTCGACAAAGACAGGAAGTCAGACAAGAAACACATGAACAGCTTTCTTTCTCAGAAATGCAATTACTGTAAAAAGTTATTTACACACCAGCATTATTTTAAATTTGTATGACAAGGCATTTCACAAAAAAAATAAATAATAATTTGTTGGGCCATTCTCGTAGCTCTTTGAGGTCATGTTTTTCTTACACTTGGCATATTAATAAAGTACTAAACAGATGATTTATAAACCAACAAAAAAATTAATCATCAACTAGTTTGAAGTACCTTTATTTGTACATGCATTTGTGCTAAAAATGCATTTTCAACATTTTTACCTGGTTAAATAAAGAAAAATGCAATTAATTTAGAGTTTTTTGGTCTTTTTAAAGCAAAAAGACAAACATCAGTGAGTCCCAGCCTCTCAAATTGGAGAATATGCTGTTAATCTTTGTCTTAATTCAATCCTTATATATTATTTTTGAAATTTGAACAGTTAAAGGAACCAACAAATAACATACAAAATGTCCCTTTAGTGATTTTTAATGGGATTACCCAGGAAATAACTACTAGGTCCAGCCCTAAAAGTAATATACTGGTGATATTTCTATTTTTGTGATAAATTAATTTGAAAAATTGAACGTGTATCGCACTTTTCAAACACATCAAATGCAATTCAAAGTGCTTAACAGGCAACTGACAATAAATTGTAAAGTTTAAGAAGGAAATAGGCATATTTTTTATTTAGTTTAATTTAATCTTTAAATATCTTGTTTAAAGGTTGAATGTGCTCAGCAGAGTTAATGCTATCTGCCTACAAGGCAATAACACAGTAGCTTGCATTTAAAGGTTATGTTTTGACAGTGATGTTACAGAAAAGAGAAGGCGTTCTGTCGCCGAGCACAATAAGGTTTAATTTAAAAGTTTAAGGTTCGATTGGTTTGTAACAGTTATATTCTTGTTATTGTCTTGGATATTATTATTATTATTTAAAATCTGAACCTGAACCTTGTTATCTTAAAATATCACGGACTGAAGTCAAGTCAAAAGAGAGTTTTGACCTCATAATAGTCTGGTAATCATGTGTGGATGTGTGCTAAAAACACACAAAAACAATTTAAAAACCCCCCACAGTTAATTTTGTAGTCACAAAGTGGTATAAAGAATGCATTCGTTGTCCGTTTCGTTTCCCCTCGGGCTTGTTGCAAATCTAAAGAGCAGCTGAACTCAACCAAGACTGGACAAATCACACATAACGACTGTTTTCTCCAACTTGTTTTAGTATTTGACAATCAAGAAGGAGCACAAACCCCATGACTGAGGACGCAAACTAGAAAATACAGTAAACCAACAAGGATAACAACCAGCTGCGTGAATCATTTGCATAAAAATTGCACAAAACGCCCAAAAAAGGAGGTAAAAAGCTCAGATTCTGGATTCCATGCAGAGGAAACTGAAGGTGAGTTTGTCTACTGAAAACAACTGGCAGTTACTAGATCTTTATATACCACACACGACTACATCACTTGCATTTTCCAGCATATTCTGTGTGTTTAGTATTGAGCAAACAATAAAGAAACACAAGGTTAAACAAAGTGGCAGTGCACTTAAAGTGTATTTAATTGTAATCTGACCTACATTCTCCAAACATTCACATTTGCATGTCTAAAGGTTGCAGTAAAGAGAACAATCAGTGCCTGTGAGAAGTGAATGCACCATTGATTCAAATGCAAAGATCGACAAACGGCCTAAAAAGGTCAAATAAGGCAGAAAACAAAAGAGCAGCACAAGAAACGACACGGCAACATGTCTCTGTTTTACCTCAGGGACGACTGGGGCCTGTTTGGTCGGGAGTCGTCTCATCCAGGGAAGGGAGACGGTTTTATTAACACATTTCTTGTGGACCAGATCGCACACTGTCCCCTTGTAGCAGCAGTGGAGGTGGTCTGAGCAGCACTCGGCCTGCAGGTGGTGATGAGGAGATGAGAGAAGTTGACGAAAACAAACCACAACTTTTGACAAACCAGCTGAAAACGAAAAGAATCAGTGCAGCGTCTCTATCCAAGCTTTGGCTGATATAAGCTTAATACAGCCCTTTTTATATACTCCCCACTTTAACTAAAATATCAAGTATATGTACACCAGGGGTATCCGATCCTGGTCCTCGAGGGCCACAATCCAGCATTTATATAGATGTTTCCCTCTTCCAACACATCTGATTCAAATGATCAGGATCGTTATCAGGCTTCTGCAGAGCTTGATGATGAGCTGCTCATTTGAATCAGGTGTGTTGGAAGAGGGCAACATCTAAAAAATGCAGGATTGTGGCCCTCGAGGACCAGGATTGGACACCCCTGATGTACACCATCTCTATACTAATGTTTTTATATTATATGCTGCACACAGCATCCAAGCCCGCTCTACAGCACTGTACACAACATACTCTCTTATATACTACTATCCTCAGGTGATAAAGTAAACAGTCATGGCACAATGCAGTTCAACTCATGCAACATGCCCCTGGTGCAACAGATTAACTGCAACAGTTGTGGTGAACTAGAGTGTGCAAGAGGCTCGATGGGGAAATCTGTTACGAAGCCAAACCACTTGAGTAGACTTGCACACACTAAAAGCCCAGAATATAACTAGATTTTTATTTAATTTTCACGTTTTGTCCCATCTTTCAAAAAAAAAAATACTCCATTTGGTCTTTATCTTCTGTGCAATTTGTGGTTTACTTGTGCATTTACATTATTATATTCTACTGTGCTTCCCCCACCAATACATCTGTTTGAAAACAAGTTAAGGGTTCCTTTTAAGATTTTACAGAAAAAAAACATCAGATTGAGTTAAAAAAAAATATGATGCACTGTGACTGAATAATTACCACATCAATATAAAGTAGCTGTGATGTTCAAATCCTGCATCGGTGTTATTAATCCAACACAATTCTGGCAAGTGCTGGTCTGCAGTCTGATGACTTTTTATAATTCTGATGCACAACCAAGTACATTTTTCTGCAGGTATGTATTGTTTTTGCAGAGCTGTGCAGAAATGTAACTGTTTCTACACTTGATATCTGTAAAAATGACAAAAAAAAGAGGATTTCCATCAAGATGCACCACCTTTAGTTTAATGTAAATCAGGGATGTGACTGAATACTGGTAACACCATCAATTTCCATTTATAATTTAGCCGATTAACAACTTATTAACTGATGAGGCCGAAGACGAAGCACACGCATGTCAGAAAATGTGTTGTTAATTAGCTGTAGCACCTGTGTGAGCTTCTTACTGTTTAACACTGTAGCGACCAGAGGAAGCAATCACAGGCTACGATCAGTTTAATGTTGGTAAGCAGAAAGAATTGTGGGGGTAACTAGCCAGCAACGGTCACCATGAGAAAAACTTCTGTGATGGTTAATGACTTCTGCCCAGAGCTCACACACTGAAAACGAGTTAAAGTCAACTTGGATAAGATAAGATAAGATAAGATAAGATAATTCTTTATTGATAAGATAACATAAGGATATAAGGATAACATCCCAGTAAATTCATGGTTAATGCAACGAAGCCGCTCATGCAACAATTGCCACTTGCCTTCATTTAAATTAGCGCTGTCAGCATATGGAAACTCTCCACTGTAGTTGTTTTAGTTAATGTTTAATCGACTATCAACTAACAAGAAACCTATTCAAACTTTGTAATTAATTACCAAGACAGACGTGAACAGCAACTCACATGTGGCAGCGGACAGCATCCGTATCCTCCCTCAGTGTTCTTGCAGCAGGTGTTTTTTTCCTCACACATGCCTCCATCGGGGCAAATCAGCGCCGAGCTCAGGCCCAGCAGAGCCAAAAACAAGATCCCCATCTGCAGCGTCTGAACACAGCAAACAGAGGAAAAGCCCGTCAGCGGCATGGTGTGAAGCAAGCTGGTCTGGCATTACACAAAACAATCTTATCGTCCTGCTTTCAGCGCTTTGTTCCGGCTGCCAGGAACCACTAGATCACTGTAAGGAAAGAAAACAAATGCAAGTATGTGCAGCACCTCTGACAGCATTCCATCTGATAAACTGGATTTGAACACTAAACACAACCAGCTCCTGGCTGCAAAGTTCACGTCCTTTTAATGTATGTAGAGCTCTTGTACTTTAAGCACATCATGTCCTAAACAGCAGCAACATAACAACACGTCACTACATTCACTATTTATTTGCTTTAGATTTTAGGGATGCAATCAGCAATTATTCTCATAATCTGCTGATGTTTTTCCTCAAGTAAGAAAAAAATAAAAATTAAAAAATGTGAAAAAAATTCCCACAGGACAGTGATATCTTACAGTCTAGATATCCAATTCAATTTAGTTATAGATGACAAAGAAAACAGCAAATTGCTCTATTTGAGAAACTGAAATCACAGAAAACTTGTCATTGTTGCTTAAAAATGACAGTTAATCAATTACAAAAACAGTTCCTCCTAAAGTGTGTCGATGTCACAGATGTGGTGAGTGAGAACAAGTTGTTCATTAACTACTTTACTGTTGAAGCAGAAAATTTGGAAGAAAGCAAAAACTGCACAGTTTAGGAAAGACAAACTCACTGTTTGTTGTTGTATTGTCTGAAATATTAAGAATATAACGGATCAGCAAAGTGAATAAATAAGACACTAGAAATAAAACTATAAATTGAAGTCATCGGTCACTTTATTGCTGCTCATGTGATCGCAGTAAGGCAGAAGATTAATGGACTTAATCTCATTGTAAGCGTGTTTCTGCATTTTACTGCTGGTATTTTGTGCTCCACCTTTCTTTCACACTTGAACCAATGTTAAATTAAATGTTATCAGCGACGTGGGTCAGTCTGGCTACAGATAACGGAGCAGGAAAGGCGAGGTTCTCGACAAGACTTTTAGGTGATAAACAGCAGCCTGCTGAAAGCTTTCAATGAAAAAAATATTTTTAACAAAATAAGTTCTGCAGTTGTCATTCAAGTTTTAGCTTTCAAATTCCTATTCTAACATTAAATGATTTGTCATGTTTCACACTTAGTCATGTAGTTTCTCATTAAGCTGCACGTTCTCATTATCAGTCCTGGTTTAATCAGCATTCCTGCATTGCATTTAGCATTGTAGCTCTAAAAAAAAAAAAAAACGTGGCATTTGTATCTGAAAATCCACAAGTAGGATTCAGTTTAAAATAAACTCTCTATGAATTTTAAATCAGCTTTAAGCCACCATTGCTACAGCTCGAGCACACCAGCTCAACTATGACTCAGACACTGTAAAACTACATGAGCTGTAATATTTCTACGATATCTGCTGGAACCGTAAACTGATTCTGAAGAAGAAGAATTATACATAAAGTCTGTCCATGCAAGCTGACAGAATTGGATTCCCATGTTTGTTATGTATGAAACCCTGGAATGCACTGCTTCATCAAGGCGCTGACTGCTTTATTTTTATCCATGATATGTCCTCTAGCATGTAAAAAACACCACATGGATGTGTTAACAAGCCAAATAAATTTGATTTCCCTGCAGAGCATAGGGCTGAACAAACTGCAATTATTGCAATTTGATCTGCAATGTTTTTAAAAGTCATGCTCCAGTTGATGTGATTAAAAACATGTGATGGAGTATTACTCCATGAAATAAAATAAGTTGCTGTCACACAAAAAGGATGCCAGTAATTTGCAAAACTACTGACACGACAGTTAAAACCCCGCGTCAGAAGCAGAAGCAGCCTTTGTGATTTGTTCAGTACATGGTATCAAACTGCAATTTCAATTTAAAAGCAAATCATTGTTCAGCCTTTCAAGAGTGATTGCTCAAGTAGGAGTAATTTTCTATGTATTGTAGGTGTTTTTTCATTTTTCAAGAACATCGCTGTTTAAAAAAAGCTGTACCAAACCACTCGGCTTCTTTCTAAGCAGAATAAACTGATGCCTCCTCGAAAAATATAACAATTAAAAGTTATTTTACTGGAAAAATTCAAAGAAAAATCCAATAATACAATAAAATTAATTGAAAAATGATAGTCCCTTTCCAGTGGGTTACTTTTTTTCCCTCTCATTGTACGCTTCACAATATTATCAGCAAAAAATACTGAGTGTTTACATGGAAACACACATAGCAACCAATAAAAAAATAAATAAAACACAAATTAGTAAAATGAAAGTGATCAAAAACAGTAGAAATAAGTTGAACAAAATGCACACAGATTTATAGAAAAATTAAAACACACAAAAAAGACAGGAGATAACATATACAATAAAAAAAGAAAGCCAATACACATAAGGTAATAACGCTGACAAGTTTAATTAAAGCAGTAGTTTTGCAAGCCTTTTTTTTTTTAAAATCACCAATATTTGGCATAAAATAGGTCAATTTTTTGCTTTGCTAAAACTGTCTAATTTGCATCAGACTAATTTAAGAGGACATTTTAGACAGTTTAACACCACAGAGAAGTCTGACATTTACATTTGTCATGTCAACAAGAAAACGCACATCTTTAATGTCAGCAGCTATACCTGTACTTTGAGCTGCTTTAATGAGCCAGAATGTCTGCTGAGAACTTGTTTAATTAAAGCTTCAGGTGGGTTGTTTGCTTGCTGACCCATTTCACGAGCAATTAAAACCATATAAAACTAGCCAACACATTAAAATTGAGTTAAAACACGAAGGTATTTGTTTAATTGGTGATTGTACGTTACCATTATTAGCAGATAGCTTGAGATGAGTTTTGCTGTTGTCAACAAAGAGCACAGAGCTGCATACTCCTCTGACAGCCTGGAAAACAACAAAAAATATACCATTAGTTGACGTAAATTTGTGAGGAAATATTGGGCAACATTATAGAAAATGTCGTATTAAAGTTTTTTAAAAAACTGCTTGCCTCAAGACGCCAACTGAGACGAGCGAGCTAGCAGGCTAAGGTTAACTTTCATCAACGAGCTAATCCAAATAAACTGTTCAAGTTAGCTTAGCATGCTAGGCGGCTAACAATGAAGCTAGCCGGTTTGAATGACTGTTTTTTTTTTTTTATTTGCGTCTGCGCGAAAAACTGAAGCGCTTTTCTCACCTCGCAGGTTCGACGAGACAAGTCCGAGTGGTCACATATGTTGACGCTGTTAATGCAGCTGCAGAAAACACAAAGCAAACACTGTCTGAGGCTATTTTTTATTTTTTTTATGGAGACTCACAATTCAATAATCACATGACACACGGACATGTGACTGCAGCTCGGCTGTGCTTTTAAAGGGGAAGCTCACTGCAGCCGCTTCTGATGCAGCACATGAATGGACTGCATGTAAAATACACACATGCAGGAGTCAAATAGGTTCAGGTTGTTAAAATAACCAACAAATTTGAAACACTTTGACTGTAGTGTTTGAATTTCTTCCATTTTATATTACAATTCAGATGAAAATATTGCACTTCCACCTCCATTACATTTCATTGACAGCTCCTTACTTTGCAAATACCTTAAACTGCACTCAGATGTTTTACACCACTGATCTGTATACATGTGTACAACAGAAATAATTTCTAAAAAATGGAAGAAAACTTTTAAACTTACACATTTGTGAAGATTTGTTGTATTTCCTTTTTAATTATTGCCATCTGAATTCATTTGTAATCATTCTGGACCCTGGGCCAGACAACACAGGCACTCCTAAAGCGCTGCCCTTTGAATTTAATTAAAATAATCATTGAATGAATCAATACGGCAACAACCATTCGTTGCAACCTTGTACAAAATGTTTTAAAATTAGCTCCACATAACATGAGTATTTATAATCTCCTGTTTTAGGGACGATTTTTGTATAAACCATTGTTTAAAAAATAACCTGAAATACTTTACTTCCAAAAACCTGGTTTTCCTTTTTAAAGTTCCCCACAACTAACTTCAAAGTTAGAAAAAACGCATACCATGTATATTCCGCATTAATTTGTAGTTTGCAAAATCAGAGGTTGTGATTCCATTATGAATCACTATTTAATTGGGTCATTAATTTTGATATTTTTGTTTAAAAGTACTCTGCTCAAGTTCATTTTTTAAAAAAATCTTTGGGAAAATTGATCCTGAAGTAAATAAAAATTGCTAAAATAGCTAAAAAGAAATATTGTAGTCCATAATATACTGAGATTGTAAACTCCCCACAGGCTGCTGAAAGCATCTACATCTATGACTCAAACCTCTCATTGAATCAATATGATGTTTGCACTGGATCAAATAATAAAATGCTGTATTAGCCCATTAGAAGGAAATGTTCTGAAACAGGGTTTGCTGTTATCAGCTGCACGGCATTAGTTTGGCTAAACTGGTTTATTATTTAGGGCCTTAATAGTAAAACAAATTAGATTTTTCAAAATAAAATCCCATACACATGCAGACCGTGGGAACAAATTTATTTCTATGTTGTCTCATGTACAGAAGGAATCAATTTACAGTTTACAAACAACTGACCAGGTTTATGAAGCAAATGATTTACTGCACAGGATGAAGGTCTACAGTTCAGTCCTCCTGACCCTCGTAAATACTATCAAAATCCAACAAAATCGAGCCGCCAACTTCTAAAGTGTCCTCCCAGGGCTTCAGTATTCAGACCGAATACTCTCCGAAACACAAGTTCACAAAATCTAGTGAGAAAAACACATCTCTCATGTAAAACAAAAACAATCAAGGAAAGCCACAATTGCACAACTCATAATAATTCCATATCTGGTCCAAAAAGAAACGTACATTTACAGCAGTGGACACGACAGTTCAGCAGGAATTGTTTCATGGCTGCGGGTTTCTTCAGACTTAACATCACATTTTCAGTTTGCACTGGAGGCTACTGACACAGGCCTATGAACAGCAAGCGAATTGTGAAAACATGTCAGCGTGACTTTTATACAGCCTTCAAGATTTCCCCTCCAATGTTTTCACTTCTGCAGAAAACAGCGACAGAAAAGCCTTCACAGTTGTTGATGCGTCATAGGCAGTGGTGATGCTAGTAACAGAGGGAGCGTGTTGGTCAGTATGTTATTGTTGTAAACATTTACGACCGGAAGTGAATTTTGTTAGAGGTGGATTAAGGGGAGGGGGGGGGGAAAGTCAGTGTATCATCTTCAGTTCATTTGGCAACACAGTTCAATGCATCTGTGAGTCACATTTTGTGCCAAACATTGTCGTCTCAAAAAAGGTTTCATTAAAAACACCCTATTCTACATGTTACATGCACGTCGTATACACATAAAATCTCATATAATTCATCATACCATTTACAAGTTTGGTGAAAAAGAGGATAGATACAAGAAATTAAGATATCCAAGGATGTAATAGCCACAAGAAAAGTAGTCAGTTTTGGCAGGCATGCTCCCCAGAGTGACGCGTGTTGTTGTTACCACAATGCAGTGTGCTTATTAGTGCCTGCCGATGTCAACGGCAAAGTTTAGGTGACGCCTAACTGCATTTTAAAAAGGGACCGACATGCCTATCACTCGATCCTTTGTGAAAGAAGGCACTTGCAGGAGAGAAGTGGTACAGGCCCTGTCTACAAACAGCCCCTGTGGATCTCAGTAGAATATTATATTAAATAAGTAAGTCTTCAAGTAAAGTGGTGTTTTTGCAGAGCCGCATGTGTTCAGACTTACCCGCGTTTCTTGGCGATTAGGGGTGAAACTACACAGGAGCCCGAAGAACTGTAGAGGGGGCTTTTGGTGCCTTCTGTTTATTTCATACATTCATATGCATGCAACCTTTCTATACCAAATGGTCTTTCCAATGTCTGGGCATCTATTTACACAACAGAAATTGCAAAGTCTCTGCTGGCCGAAAAAATTCTCAACAACAGGAGAAAGGCAGAAATGCGTACTTTTGGCAGAATCGAACAGCAGATCACTGCGATAAATCGATGACAAGAAAAGATGACAGAGAGACTTGGAGATGATGCTCGACGTTTCAAATCATTACTATCTGAATAAGTAGTTACAACACATGAACACAGTACAGGAGGAAGAGGAAATCAAGTACATCCCTGAAGGAGCAAAATGCAAGTCGCACGTTGGACTTTATGGTTTGCATTATCCGTTCACAGGGGCTCAAGACAAAATCAGGTGTAGGTTCCGTACTTATTTGGGCTTTCCTTTAAGGAAAACTTTTCCAAGTTACAGTTCAGGGTGACGGTCAAGAAAACACAAGCATCTACCATCAATGTGAGCTTGTGTGTAGAATTAGTCTAGGAAAGGAAATCTATTTCACCTACATACCGATCAATCCCATAAAAAATGTCATCTACTACCAAAGTCTTGGTAAGTATCAATCAATCAGTTATCAAATTATTAGTAAGTGCTCTATTCTTATATTTTGCTCTATAAAATGGCTATTTCCACAGTCAGTATATGCAATGGCTCAGACAATGGTTCAGTGATGTGATAGGTGACAAGGTTCACAATAAACTGGAAGGATTCCAGTCTACAATAGATCAACTCAGAGGAAACCAGTGGGATTAACTGACAGTGAGACCACGAGAGTAATCAGTGCAACAGCACCTCACCAGAAACACAAAGGTCAAACAACAACCTGAAAATGGACCAGTGAAGCAGTGGTTGTGCTTATTGTGATCTCTCTCTCGGTGCAACCGTCATTCGTCTTTCATGTTTGTCTTAAAAGACTGTTAAAGGTCCAGTGTTCAGTTCAAAAAGCTCACTTCCTGGGGTGGAAGACCATCAGAGGCCTGTCCTCGATCTTCTGCCAGGGGCTCTTCTTGTTCTCGTCTTTGTCATCGGGATCGTCTTCGGGACTGGTCATGGAGTCGCGGCGGTTCTCGCTGTTGCTGCTGCGGCTGCTGTTCACACGACTGCGTCCTCTTCTGGGGATGGTGGATCCTCTGGAGGACGGACCTTCATCCAGAAGAGGGGTGAGCGAATTCTCCTCAGGTGAGACTGGGCGTCCCTCACTGCTGCTGGGCTCGCTGTGGTCAGGGTAGGCCAGCTTGGAGTAACTCTTCCCACCACTGCTGCTGACGCTGTGGCCCTTCCGTCCCCCTGTCCCCCAACGCTCATCTTTGCCCTTCCGGTTGACTGCTGCTTTTCGCTCTTGGGCCTCCAGAGGTGGCTCAAGGTTGACGTCTCGTGGAACACTGCTGGAACCTCCAAATCCACCACCACCGCTGAGGTCATTCCCGACATCTATGTAGGAGTGGCGCACATGAGCGTTGGCACGTCCGTCCAGGGAGATGAACCACGCCCGTGGATGCTGTTTAACACCCAGCTCCAGTAGCTTCTTCTCAGTCAGAGCCTGGAGTTCCCCATTCATCTGAGCCATGGTAGAGTCGTTGAAAAGGACGGGGATGGTCACTGGTCCGCCGGAGGAGTCGGATGCCCAGCTCGGCTCCTCAGAGTCGTCGCCTTGGGATCCCCCTTGCTGCTGCTGTTGCTGCTGGCCTTGTTTCTGGGAGTGGTGGTGATGATGCTGCTGCCCTCCCATCTGGGCACCGTCTTTGTCTTGTTCCTTCGGGTCCTTGCCATCTTTGCCAGAAAACTCAGACGGTAGGCGCATGTAGTGGGCTGGGATGACCAGGGTTGGCACCATGCTCCGGTACATGTTCTCCTTCATCTGGTCAATGGAGCTGCAGAAGATGATCTGACCCGGCTGGGTGTTGAGGGAGGTGGGTCTAGCGAGGCTGTCTGCTGCTGCTGCTGAATAGTCTGGAGGCTTGTCAGACTGGCTTGGCACATATCCTTGGAAGCGAGGTGGGGACGGGGGATCGGAAGAGTAGCCTCGATTGTCGTTGGCATTGTGGTGTCTGTGGTATTCAGACTCCTTTCCCTCTTTGGGGCTGTAGCTCCGGTTGTAGTCGTCATGCAGCAAAGGGTTGTCCAAGTTGTTGGTCTCGGTGGCTCGGGTAACCTTCATGGGGAAGCTTTCACCTCGTTGGGAACCTGAATTTTTTCCCTTTGCATGTCGCAGCATGTGGGCAGGAACGTGCTTGGTTAAGTCCTCCCTTGAGCTCTGGTAGTCTCGAGATGGGGACATGTCAGATTTGTCATTGGAGGGGCCTGATTCAACATGGCCTCCACAGATCAGGTTGAGGCGGGAAGTGGATGTACCCTGGTCTCTCTTAGCGCCGTTTAGATTGGATGTGTGGGGCTTGCCTTGCTGTCGACGAGGTTTTAAGCACTTCCGTCTA